GAGAGGAGAATGGAGGAGAAGGGATTGCGGCGTGACCATCCCCCCTGGGGGGTGATTTCTCGCTTTCTGTCTCTATGTCTCTCTGTCTGGCGAGCGCACGCGCCCTATAGCGAAAACCTCTCAAAAAAAAAAAAAAAAGAGGGAAATTTATAGCAATTAGTGCACATAAGAAAAGGATGGAAAGATGGCAAATAGATAACCTAACATCATACCTCAGAGAATTGGAAAAACAACAACAAACCACCACCAAAAATGCCAGGCGAAAAGAAATAAACAGAAATAAATGAAATAGAAAATAAACAAAGCATACAGAAAATAAATGAAAGCAAAAGCTGATTCTTCAAAAAGATTACGAAGATCAACACACCATTGGCTAGACTGATCAAGAAGAAGAAAGAAAGAAACCAGATAAATCAAATACGTGGCAATATTACAACTTAACGAGGATAAGTCAGTGTGGAATGGGGAGGTGAGAAGAGGATAGAGAAAGATAGCAAGAGAACAAATAGAGAGGCATGACATTAGTCGGACACAGATATGATTTATTATTTGTTGATGATGTGTATACTATTCTCAACTGGATTGGTCTGAGAAGTATTTCATGTTAGGTAAAGTCTTCTTACAAGCAAAATGAGAAATAGTGATTGACTGGTTAAAATAATAATTGGAATAATAATAATGATCAGGAAAAACAATGAAAAGATATTCAATGACGAAGTGGGGATTTTAATGTCTCTGTATTGACTGACATGCATGGCATTCCCTTTTGAAAAAGCAATGTAATACACTGTAAAGTTATATGCATTTCAATGTAATGTAAACAAGATTATAATGATAATAAATGAAAAATAAATTGAAAAAATAAATTCATGGGATCTCTTACACCAAAATAAAATCTATATAGAGAAATCAAATTTAAAAAATCATGAGTATCTCTAAGAAATGAAAATAAACAATTCTTGGAAGAGGAAGAACTAAGTGTTGAATTTTTAAAATGATCTAATAAGTTTAGATTTGACTTTTAAAAATTTGAAATTTTTCTTAAAAAAAATCCACCACAGGTCCAGGGTGGTACATATTACTAAGGCACCAATGATTCGTGAAGCTGAGGAAGGAGGATCACAAGCTCAAGGCTGACCTGGGCTACATAGTGAGACTCTGTCTGAAAAAACTTGGAGAGGTGGTATGAATCCATAATCCCAGCTGGGAAACAGGCAGGAGGAATGAGATGGTGACACCTTATCTAAAAGAAAGAAAACAAACAACAAAACCCTACTACAATAAACAAATAATAGAGAGAAAGACTTTGTAGTAAAATTAATCAAATGGGGACTGTGTCTACTGTAATAAATTAATAACTCATGAACAATGATTT